TATTTACTTAAAACTATTTTTAAACAAATTTTACCTATCCGCGCGAACATAAGGGATGCATTTGGCTGTGTACCTCCCTTACTTATTTCTTCCCAAAAAGTGCTCAGAATTACTGACCGTTTACAATTGGATAAGTCAGTATCGCGTTTTGAGGAGTGTTCAGTGGGAGTTGTTATCCCTTATTTCAAAAAAGGTATTAATTTAGAGAAAATTAAAAATGTATTTTGAGCGTTGCCTATATTGTTAGCAAGAGGTTTCGCGCACACCCAACAGCTCGCTAGCGGTTAGATGAATTAGCGCTTCTTTCAATTTTCCTGTAATTCAGTGAGTAGAATTCAAAAGTTCGCAACTCTGTAATGACAAAGATAAGAACCGGCGATTGGTGGAAATCCCAGTTTTTCAGCAGTGAAAGTGATAAAAAGTGTTGTAAAAAGCGTATAAAACATTAGCGCTAATAAACCTCAGCTCATCGGCAAACAGAAATATCTTTAAGAGCCGTCGGTTTACTTCGTTTCTTTATTGAACTCTTGTTGCAGTAATTATTATTTCCACGTTCCTCAACAAGCCATACAGAGCACTCATATTTCAATTTCTCCTTATCTTTAGAACTATTTCGCACCTTTTGGTCTTTTTAGATTCTTTACAAAAACATTACTTTTGCATCAACTCATTCCTAATACATTTTCTAAACGAAACCTTTACAGTGAAAAGCTGTCCTAATGTATTTCCTAATGTCCTAATGTATTTCTTGAGTAAAGTAGGAGTCAAGTTCCTTCAGGAATGAATTTCACCCGTAAAATGTAGCTGCGTGGTACGTACGGCTGACTCATGCCTTCAAGACGTAAACAGGTGTCCTTTAATATCACTATAATCGAAAGGAAAGTACCACGGTGATCGAGAAAAATGGATGACACCCAATGTTACACATTTCAACACGCTGATTTCCGAGTAATACAAAATTGAAATGCGCGCCTTAGTATACACCGCGCGAACTCACCTATGGTTAGTTTGCGAAAAAACAATATTCTCTCACCAGTACGATGTCGTCTATTCGAAAACAATTGCGCAGTAAGCAATTACAAGCATTATCAGTTTTGTGGTCAACAACGTGGAAACTATCGTCTTTTGTTTTGGCAAAAGCTCCACCGGTGAACGGCGTCACTTGACGGATGAAAAGCGCAAACTTCGCGAAGGAAGTGGAGAGCAACGAGAAAAGGTTCGAAGGCAGTGAAATAACACAACTCATGGCACACGACCACCACCTATATTGCCGTCTTAAATGCAATTTTTGGAGAACGTGTTTAAAAATGTCACCGCGTTTATGCCAACGTAACTAGGCACGCGTCGCAATGTTCGCTCCCCACGCCCCAGCGTTTCGCCAGTCAGGACGGCCATAGCCGCGTGTACTCCTGCGACGAAGTCTTGCTCGTCGACTGACGCACTTCTCGTGAGCTCGTTCTCCGCTGCTTGCAATTCGGCCACTTCGGTAGGGCCAGTGCGAAGGCGCGGCCTGCCGTCCTCGGCACATGGTCGCGAAAGCACATTTCCCGATGCACGCAATCGGACATCGAGGCGCCGCAACACGTCGGATGCCGGAGAGTTGGCATTGCCGCGACATTTCCCCAGAATCAGGAACATATCTCAATACTCTTCTGCAGAAAGCATCTCCATTTCCGCCTCCTCACACGTTGTCTCACGTGGAACTGACGCTACCTGCGCAACATTGACACTGACGACGTAGACACAATTGAAAATGCGCTGCCGATTGAAATGTCAAACTGCAGAAAGCTCTCTAATGATCATTTGTCGATCTTTGCGAAGAATAGCGGCAGCTGTATTCTGTAGAAACTCGGTGCGAGACGTTGAAGGTCGCCCCTCGCGCGGCTCGTCGGCGATGCGCTCTCTACCGTTTAATCGCTTTATACCACTTGCAGCTCACCTGCTTCTTAACATCTTCACCGTACACCTTAATCAATAACTCAGATGCATCTTTCCGGTTAACTTTTTATTCATGCCGCTCTTGGAAGGCGAATATTTAACATACGTTACGTGAATCGCTACTACATACGTTTACTCACTACACCGGTGACCTTAAAACTAACAGTATTGTTGGCTAGACGAATAGTTTGTACGATGGTATTCAGTGCCGCCACCCTTCACGACACATGTTCCCTCAGGGTCCCTATTATCATTACTTTTTGAACAGCCCTCGTATTTTGGCCTCAGATGCATAGGTTCCTATAGAACGTGATTTTTTGTAATTTTTCAATTTCGTCGCAACCTGTATATCAGCACAACTGCACGCGCATTTGCAAGACTCGAATGGCTGTTGTAGAAGCGAGAGATCGTTTGCATCATTTGTGAACAGTGAGAGCACCCGAATTCAGAGGGTTTAAGGCGCTGACCGTTTAAAATCGGGCGCGATCGCAAGGTCGCTAATTATTTCAGAGACAAATGAACGAAAGCGTCTGGTAATTATTGAAATTAGGGTGCAAATTACGGTAGTTCTGTATCGCCTGCTGTCCTGCGATTGGGTCCGATTGTAGACCGTCTGAATTGTAGACTGTCAGAATTTTTGGTGCAATCGCTGTTCGCCAAATTATATATATATATATGCACTGCGTTCTCATCTGTAAGTTAGAGGTAAATATTTGACATCTTAAAGCATCCTTAAGGAGACAAAACTGATAGTAAGTATACGTTACAATATTGGAATTGTATCCGCAAAGCTATGACACCTCGAATTTTGATGTGTCATGCTGGTTTCAAGTGCTTGGGCGGCGGTTTCTGGATGCGCGTTGTTGAGCAACAAAATAATGCCTACCACCAATTCATCTCGGCGTTCACATAAACAGAACGTGACTAACGTCCATGTGGTTTGCCACTTTATCAATAGACCCTCATCGATTATTGAGAATTACGGCCTGAACGTGCTCAATATCGGGGTCAGTAGTGCAATAAGCTGGGCATCTTTCTCTTCTCTCATCCTGAATGCTTGTTTGAAAGGTTCAATATACTGGTAATATCTTGGTCAATTAAAAACATTGCACTTACATTGTGCTGAAAGTCTGCTAAGAATTTCAGCTTTTGGTACATATTCAAATCACAAAAAACGAATTACGAAAGCCTCTTCTTGTTTGGTACAAACGGTCAGTGTAGCCAGGTATATATTAGCCAATCAAACACGTGGTAGTATATTACCATAAGCAAAATGAAATATGTCATCTTAAGGCTGAAAAGTGCACAAAGTTGTACCATCAACCAACAGACGATTAGAACGCAATGGTAGATACTAATTATTCGCTTACACTCATACATAATTAGGTTGCATTACGAGAATTTCAGTGTTGTTTATTTCAAGAGTTCAAACTAAATCTAGATTCTCTTAGATGTTACCGCTTCTAATTTTTGAAAATAAATTTATTTTTGAGATAATTATATATGTTGCGGGTTGCCTTTTTTATCAGGAATCTTAGGCGTTTCCTTCACAAATATCTCAAAATATATCCAAATACTGTAATTTATATCATTCTCTTCACTTTCTAGGGATAAAATATTGTCAATCTCATTTAATTGGTCAAACTCATGTCATTGTCGGAGTTATTCTTTATTTTGCCTTCTGGAAGTATAATCATTCTTGCCGATATTTTAAGGCACATTCCTCATGCACATTCAGTCATATGACGGAGACTAGCAGAAGAAAATTGCTTATACCATGATTCATGCGAGGATACACATTCTGGGGGAACAAAATGAAGAGTTAGTTTTATTCGTGTAAATTCTCTACCTGGGTTTAGCCAGATAATTCGACATGTCAAACGTGTCAATCAAAATATCTGAAATTTGAAGATGATAAATAATGAAATTGAAGATAATTAAATATCCGATCCGTATACTAAAAGAACTCTGTATTTTCTCCATACTTTAGAGAAAGTGATGGGTCTCTTAGACTCTAGTTGTTGTAGGCGCACCGCGACTTCCAGACCTTAGAAGAGCATTGAGTGCTGTTGCTGAGTAATCCTCCATTAACACACATATAGTCAAGTCGCTCAGGAGTAATCCTCCACTGACATTGTCAAGTCGATAGTCAAGAGGACTGCCAGGTAGCGTCCCCGCGTACGCGCCTCTTACATTCCGCTCCTGCGGCACTACCCAGCTGCGAGAACTGGGAGGGAATTAGGATAGGGGTAGGTTTTAGGACGCTTCGCATGGATCGGGCTAGCCCCTGTGCAGAAAGAAAACTCGTTTTTTGTGAACATATTTCACATGAGATCGTCCGATAATCGATCGGAATCAAACCGAGACCTCGTTGGTGAAAGTCAAGCGACTTCTCTTTGGGCCACGGATGCAATCGTGGTTATTTGTACTGAAAATGTTAATGAATATATTTCTATATGTTTGTTTGCTAAATGCCATTTTCAAATAGTTAATTATCACATGACATAAATGGTTTTCTCGAAATTGATTACTGAATGTTTAATGCTCATAAAAGTTCATTTAATTTCCAACTATTTGACGTATAAAACAAAAATTAATAGTATGAATTTTGATCAACTCTACAATACTATTGTCGTTATGAAAATAGCTAAACTGTCACCTTATCAAGTTATAAAATAGTCATAAATTACCTTCTTGGAAACAAAATGATATACTGAAGTAAATAACTCAATCAAGGAACGTTTTTGAACAATGAAAATATTTTATAATTCTCTGATTATTACGTGCTATAATAATAATAATAATAATAATAATAATAATAATAAAATAATACTAAATAACACAGCAAATATCGAGCTCTTGGTCTAAGTCTCAGATCTATTGAATGGCCATTGCTCTGGTCATGGTTTTGTGGGTCATGGTCAAACTTGTCTTGTACTGACAACCAACAATGGCAAGAAAAATATTAATTTCTTTAAAAATGTGAATGATAAATATTATGGAGCGAAAATGTTCAATATATTTGTATGCTCTCTTAATGTTTGTCTTTGTCTTATTCATAGCATGGCGAAATTCAGTGTCGGCCTGTACAGTGTCCGAGCATTAACTGTAAGAATCCTGTTTTCAACCCCGGTGAATGTTGTCCTAGCTGTCTGAGTAAGTATTTTAAATATATACAAGTTCTTACACGTATCTATGGATCTGCATTTTTACATTTCGACATTTCATCATTATATATAATGCATCAAACTGGTGCGCATAATTTTATTTGTAGTGGAGGAGCCCAGTTTGCGCTTAGATTAATGCACCTTTGCTGTCGGGATGAAAAGGTTCTTAAATATTTGTCTTACAAGTGTGTACTTCTTACTTTGGCATGCTACCACTAATATAATGCACTTCTGTTTTAAAATTAATAATTAATAAAATAAAACTTTAAAGATGCAAAAATGCAAATTAATAAATAATGTAGTACTCGTCACATTGCAAACAAAAGAATTATCATGAAAGGACATAACTTGTCATCTGAAGCCCTGGATATCGAAATCAGGTAAGTGAAATTTCAAAGAAAATTAAGTCAAAAGCAGAATGCGTTTCACGAAATGCGGCATGGGAACTATAGAACAAAACACAACACAAGTCAATATGACGTGCACTCGATGTTGTTGCGGGACTACCCCACGGCTACTTATTCAATGCTCTCGCCACGCTAATTCGCCAGGTTCTGCACCGGAAGGTCGTGCAGGGTACTTTGCCAAGAACGCTGCCCTCTTGCCTTGAGCACTGTTGTGTAAAGAGGAGTGCTAAAATTGGGCTGCCCTAATTTATATTAATATATGCATTCTTTTTTAAATTAACGAAAAGATTCAGCACTCAAGTTCCACGATCTTCATTTGTTTTTTATATGCTTTCTGTTTTCATTATCTCATTTAAAAGACACCTAACGGGCTATTGAAAAGTGGGTTTTAGAATATTTATCCCCATTTCGTTTATTTTAGAAGCAGTTTCCATGCCAAACCAAATTGCTTTAGTAAATTACAAATTCTCTTTCCCTTTTTTGTTGCCGAGTCTGAAAGAAAAAGTACGCATCATATACATTGAATGCATTGATTCATCAATACATTGAATGTATATTTATTTTGATCACTTGGTTTATATAATTCTTTGAACTTTCAATTGCATCTCCTATAAAAGTCTTTTAAGGTTATCTGATTGTGTCCCGAGCAATCATTTGTGAGAGTATTCAAATATTATTTATGTTTATTTCGTCGGAGAAAAACTATCATAAAATATGTGTTCAAAAGAACTTCGGGAATTAAACTGGGAATAAAGACACGCCTCTGGTCGCCAATGAACTAGATGCTGATGCGACCTTAAATAACAAAAGACACACATTTTCATTACTTTCTAAAAAATAATTTTTAATTCACTTGTGTACTGGTGCTCCTCCAACTTTCCGGAAATTATAGTTATAGAACTATCGTTGAACAATTATTATTAATCCAAAATTTTAAAATAATATTTCTTTAAAAGATTATAGAAACAAGTCACATGTTACTTGTTCTGAGCATTTTACATTTTCATGACAAAATAATATATAGATCTAAATTCAGGACTTTTACTGCATGTTGTGAATAATTATTTGTGCTTTTGAAGAAACCACACGTTCATGCACTAAACTACAGTCGATTCTGTACTTTTTTATATCCGTATTTCGCTTTCGTTAAATTTGATCCTGTCTTATTATTGCCTCTATAGTCTATATATTTATTGTTATAATTACACTGGCGTTAAAAGATTGCCCATTGGAAGTACTGGCTTTTTTCTCTCTCTACTGTGTTAATGGTTTTAATATTTAATATATTATAAGTGGAACCATTTCGCGGTTTTATGATAAATTTGTAATTAGCCATCTAAGATAAGTAAGCCAAGTAAGTTACATTTGTGTGTGTGTTTGTGTGTTTGATCCTGAAATGCTCAGTATCATTTATATCGGTAAATAATGCCGATTTCTTGTTAATTAGAGGTGAATCATTGATGTCCAAAAGTATTTGTAACAATGTATTTTGCATTGTAAGATTGTGTCGTATTGTTTACGCTTTTCTTCTTAGGTTATTTGAGAAGTTATGTAGAGAGTTCAAATCTTAAAAGCAATTGTTAAAAAGTGCTTCATTCAAATCACCAAACAATTCCATCATTCCGGCCAAGAAACTTATAGATTTGGCGATTTTTCCATGAAACATGACTTCCTTCCAATATAGTGTCTCTCAAAGAAGACTGTAATGTATTGAGATTGAATTATTTTATGTTAATTTTCATGGGTCGCACGAATGACTTTAATTACATGGTCTCTTCCATTTGCGAACATCTTGTCTTCGAAAAATTTCATAACATCTGTTATAGAGACACAGGGTCAAGTTAAAGAAGGTTAGGTTCCGTTCGCAAAATGCGTTCACGTTTGGAGAAGCGGGGATTCCCTCAACCATGAGGAAAAAGAACGGGAAAATGCCCGGAGATTGGTGAAAAGAGAACTTCCTCACAAAACATTTTGATTGCTAGTTTTATCGAAATTTTAAATTCTGGCCAAATTTATTTACAGGCAATTGATATTACATTACATAATAGTGACAAAATATCAATCATTGATTATGACCTTCAAGTCACATAAACACTGGTAAAAGCGTGATCAGAAAATAAAGACCGACATATAGTCCCCTTCTCAAATTAAATTATTGTTATCTTCTATTTCTGGGAACCAAACAATACCTACATCCTCCTTGTTAAAGGTTTGTAATACCAAAGCAAAATAAATTAAAAATGATTATATATCACATTCATTATTTTGTCTATATTACACAACTATTTGTCAAATTTATGCTTTAATATTTATAAATGATTATTACGGAGTTCTATTACGCATCTAAAAGTGCAAAAATATGGCTTCTTCGTATACTTTCGCCTCTTCGCCTTGTTACGTTTTCGTAGTAAAGAGAAAGTATTGTAATTCTGCGGAGGTAATTATCCATTTTTTGACATAAAAAATCGCCCTCGTAACGAAGAAGAGAATAAATCTTGTTTTTCTTAAAAATAGCTTAGAGTAGTGCAGTCCAACTGGCGACCCACGAGCTGCATGTAGCAAGCAGTGTCTTTTATTGTGGCGCACGAAAGGTTATTATTCAAAAGTGGAAGTCCCGTGCATTCATTTCCTTGCAATAATGTTGGGCACTCCTGGCTTAGAGTGTGTTGGAAATCAAAATTCGACAAATAAAATAACTGTCGAAATTGTAAATGGAATATTACAAATGGAATATACAAAACATTTCAAAACTAAAATACAAACAGTTTGGAGCCATTTAAAAAAATATTATTAAATTACATTAACTTCAAGCAGAAATTACGTGAAAACTACGCGTTTTGAAAAAAATTCTACATGACCTTTTCAAAAACCTAATTTTTTAGAACAGATTTTGTTTACGACTAATATCTCTACCTTCAACATTATACTTTTGATTTGTTGAAGCTTTGCAATTACAGTAGTTTCAGAGAGATGGAAGAAAATTTAACTAGCAAACATTGTCCACCAACTTTTTTTTGTACCACTTTTTACCAATTTTTCACCCTAGAAGGGGCTCGACACCGTTAAATCCCTCGACGGCAACCGACGCCGATTGCTTAATTGCTGTCTTCCGACACCCATTTTAAGATCTGCCTTTGAAAAAAAGATTACATGAAGTATAAAATCTTTGTCTTCAATATTATAATTGTAGAAAAGCGACGAATTCATTGAACTTTTGCCAATTTTGAAAAATTAAGTTCTTCAACAAAAATAAGACTTGCACCATAATTTCAAGCGTGCTTTACGCTATTCGAGGACAAAGTTCATTAAAAAAATTGGATCCTTTTTTTAGAAAATTTTCAAAATGTTGAGGTTTTATGTAAAGTACCCTCCAAAATCAAAATAGCCGTTTCAAATTCCCAAGGCTTCTACTTCATTCAGATCGATCGGGGAATATTAATTTTGGATAAAATTGTGTAAAACTGTTTAGACGCGAGCGTTGACCACAGAACACAGATCAACGAAAGACGAACAAACGAGCAGACCCATGTTTCCGCCAATTGTTTTACTTTCTTGATTCAGAGTAGAGAGAAAGCTATGTAACGCTGCGCGAAAGACGAAGAATTTTCGGCAGAAAAACACGTATTGCCTGGCCCTAGTGAGGAAAAAGGATAAATCCAATTGCTAAATTTAGAAAAAAAATCTAACACGTTGTGTAGCCAAAATCCGTTTTGTGAGTCCTTGATAGCGAAAAATCTATTCACGGGAAAATGGTTGTCCGTCCGTTCGTCCGTCTGTCTGCCTGTCTGTCTCTCCGTTCTGTCCTGTTTTCCGTCGAAAAACCGCCGATTTCCGTCGTACAATTGCAATACTGTATCTTCTTATTAAGCGAGGAAATAAAAAGAAAACATTTGGGAAGTATTCTTTAATTGATTCTTTATGTCTTTCCATATAAATAGGCGTTAATAACGTACTGGCCAACATGCGGTAACTGGCTCAGTTGAAGAATGGTGTATCCCGCATTTTTTAAGTGTCCAGAAAAAAATGTAATCGGAAAACATTTACATAATGACTTCATTATCTATTTATCTTCCGTACTATAAATATAAGACATATTTCAGACGTTTTACTTCAGATAGGTTGTTTGGTGTTGTCAGTTACTTCGTGTATGAAAAGGTCGTTTGATACGCGAACCAATGCTTCAGTTCACTTAAAATCCACTATTTTTTCTGCTTCTAAGTTGTACTACAGTTCACTGTGAAATATGAGATGTATTTACAAGTGGAACAAAAAAACGATTTGAGGCATTCCTTTAACATAAGTCATGTCAAAGAGCACCTGCTACAAGAAGCTAATATCTATCTCACTGAAAACTTACATATTCACACTTGCATGTTTACTTCAGTATTGAGTATTAACTAGTCATATTTCGAACGTCTCATGTATTGGATAAAGATTCCAATAAAGTAGTATGGTAAGGTCCATCATCCTGTTGACGGTTTTCTGTATCTTATTCAGATCTGAATGACGTACGCAGATGATGCGAAGTTCTCTAAACAGTGTGTGAGGAATTATGACCAAAAATAAAAATGTATTTATTTTAAAAAGTAAAATGCTTTAAAACTAGTGATGTTACATCAGCATATTATTTCTTCCATTATTTCTAAATTTTCAATTTTCGGAAATTCAGAGAGTTCGACAACAATGCGCCGTTTATTTAAGCGTTCCTTGTTCAATCCGTGGGAAAAAAATTGAAGAAAATTTGGAGCAGTTTTTGAGAAAGGTTTTTGTATAAGTTGCATTAACTACAAGCACAAATTACGTAAAACCTACTCGTTTTTACAAAGCATTGTACATGACCGTTTTTAAAGAGAATAGAAGAATTTTTAAAGAGAATATGATGTAGAACAGGTTTTGTTTAAGAAAAAATCTGCTTCAACTTTGTAGTTTTGAAATGTTAATTTTTGGCAGTTTTTGAAAATATAGAGTTTGCCGAAAAGGAGACTAGCACCAATGTTTTTACCGACATTTGATAAATAGATCAGAGAGAAAGCAAGAGAAGATTTAAAGAAAGACTTTTAAACTGTTTTCTAAAAAAAATGTTTATAAACATTTAAAAACTGCTTATATTTTATGCTAAATTACTTATCTTTTCATATTTTCGAAAAGTTGTACATGACCTTATTTCTAGATATGCCTTTAAAAAACAGATTTCGTTCAGAAACAACACCATCTTCAATATTGTGATTGCAGGACAACGCCGAAAAAACTAAACTTCTGTAATTTTAGAAAAATCAGGGATTTCAACGAAAATGAGATCTACAACATTCTCTTAAATGTATTTTACACTATCCGACTTTTCTCTCACGACTTTTCTAACTACCTACTCGACACTTTGTCGGCGTAGGGCAATGAAAGAGCACCACAAGAGAATAAATTCTTTATGTAACAGTTTTGGACACTTATGAATCACTATGTCTAGTTTAAGGACAAAGTCGTTTTTATTAAGAGTATCATATCATGTGTACTTTGGCTTCTATGCAGAACAGTGTTACCTACGAGGAGTTCTGTATGATCATGGTGAATCTGTGAATTTACGACAATGTGTGGAATGTGAATGCCGAGATGGTTCCATGCATTGCAAGAGAATTGATCCTGAAACAATGTGTCCTCCACTTCCATGCACAACGCAGGAACAATTCAGTGTTCCTGGAGAGTGTTGCAAGTTCTGTCCAGGTAAAGATTATGAATTATGCATGCTATTTTTCTTAATGTAACAACTTAACCATTTTCAACACTTATTGCCGATAAGAGACCTAAAGAGTGCTTCTATCATTGTGCTTGTAATGTAGTTAACAATTGTGATTAATTTGATTAATATACTAACATGTCTTTTAACATTTGCTGCTCTAACTCCAGTTGTGTGGTGTTATGTTACACTCTTAACAGGTACAGATTACTGCACGAAAGGACATATCTGTCATGCAAATGCTACCTGCCTCAATTTACAGACCACTTATGCCTGCCAATGTAATGCGGGATTTTTTGGAGATGGTCACATTTGCCATGGTAAGAAAATACTAATTTATTCTACTCACGTTCTTCGTGACATTTATTAACATTTCTTTACTAAAATGTATGTCTTTTCATATGCTGGATTGGATGCATCATCTCTTAGATTTCAGAACTAAACATAATACTGTGGTAATTTACAGTGTACACTTCGTTTAATTTATTTGATGTGTTCTTTTCCATATTTTGTGTCCATTGTTTGCATCCGAAAATATCACTAAATTATGGCTACGGCTAAAGACTTGATGATTGCTGGGTGGTCCACCTCAACGTTGTGCCAAGAGGACAGTGAGAACATTAAAATTGTACTACACAAAACTTTACAATTCGATAATATTGTTTAATTAATATTTCGTTTAGCATCATTTGAAAGAAAACTTTTTGGTTCATTTATTGTTTGCAATATGAATATTTATAAGTTGCATCTATTAGAAAACTGTAACAATCCTAGCCCACAATGAGAAACCATGACAAGAAAATTGTCAACAGAAATGAAAATCTTCGGCGAGGGAATGTATGACTGCAAATAAAGATTTTAATTCAAAACTCACTAGAAAACTGAATAATAATTTAAATTAGAGCGATTTGTCGTATTTATGTCGGATTAGGAAGAAAGATCAAATCAGGATGGTTCTTCACTGCAACTATGGAAGGAGGTTAAGGACGATTTCCATGCTTTCTACGCTTGTTGCGCCAACACAGTATTTTTATGGCATGGAAATTGGCCAAAGCACCAGTATTTACTTGTACTAATATTTCTTTCGGACTATTGGTGGAAGTGTTGATAAAATTACAATAATGTAGCATACATTAAATACAGTACGAAAGTTCTCGTTCTTCCCCACAGGTAATGAGAATCAAGAAGGGTCCAGAAAGGCCATCATACGCACGCAGATTTTCACACTTGGAAGGAACAAAAAATATTTTTAACTAAATTGTAATAATGCAGTAAAGTTGCCTTTTTGATGTAAGATAGACGAAAATAAAATTTGGTGGTAGCCGGAGCATGTTTTACTGTGCCGCAAGTACGAGCAAGTTTAATAAATTTGAAAATTGTAAATTCCTTCTTCAGTTTTTCATTTGATCTATAAAATTAGAGTTCAAAACATTTAATACTTTCTTATTAATTGAACAAACTTTGGTAACTTCTAACTTATGGTGAGAAAAAAAACCAACAACTTTCAGCCAAGAATTGTGCAGAAAATCGACTTCGAAGAAAACAAAATATTTTTTTCTTACCCGGACGTGCTCTGTTATAATTATTGTAACTGTTGTAATGTGCTTAAAAGCAGCATGTTTTTTTTTAGAGAAAACATTTGTGAATCACGTCCGGACACAATATTGTGAATTGGATTGGAGGGAGTCGTATTAGGAAATGCGAAGTAATTGAGTGATCGAGGAAGCAGTTTACATGTTGTGATAGGCGCCAATCTTTGAGCGTTATTCGCTTAGTTCAGTGTCAATTTAAGTGATAAATTATGTTGAGAGTTTTTATATTGTTGGTAATACTATTGCCGAGAAAATGGCTGTAGAAATAATTTAAGGTGGGTTGTAGTTAAGGTACTTGAAATATGAAGTAACAAAAGGTAAGGAAATGTAGAGGCAATTTTAATGTATTAAACAAAATTTCAAAATACAATTACATCCATGTTTACTGACAATAATGATAGCACTGAAAATTAACAAGAGGGGATACCAGAAAAGCTCTGTGATAGTAATGAAAAAGAAGTACTCATTACAAGAAGAACCATATTGAAAGTTTTTTGGACTTGTAACACTATTATTTGTAATTGGAAAAGACATTTTTGAGAGCGTAATTGACTATTTTCGAGATACCGAACAACTTGTAAATTTCGCCACGATTGGTTGTGATGGAATCACTGTTACACTAGAATCAATAATGGCGAGATTTTCAGATTTTCTTATTAGAAAAGAAATTAGGAAGATCACAGAGGTGGGTAGTTTCTATATTCCATTGAAATGAACTTCCATTACGCCAACATTTTTATTCTCTAGATGGTAAAAATAAGGGCCAGAATGAATTTAAAGGGGAACTAGGTAAACTACTAGAAAATTGTTATAAGCTTCTTGTGGTGCCCATTTTACCAGTTTAAAATAACCTTTCAAGATTAGAAAATATAAGGAATTGAAGTACGAATCAGAAAGTACTTAATAAAACTTTGTGTTGCTGTTTTTACTGGAAACGGTTCGTTGGATTTATCTTTGAAAAATCTCGAAAAACTTCCATCTTTAGATGCCTTAGATTAGCAAATAGATAACTTCGATTGTACATAGCAGCTAAAAACTTGCTAAGAAACTTCAAATTCTGGCTAAGTTTATAGCAAAATTTATGCATCTATGTATCAGCGGTGTTAAATTAAAATCCTCATGTCCTAATGGTTCTAGATATTTCTGGAAGCTTATTTATTACGCACGCAATATAGCTAGTGATATTGAAGGAGAGTAGATCCGTTTGTTCAAAGGAACAGATACTTTGCTGCTGCAGAAAAAGCCAAAATTAGTTCATGCTGTGTAAAGAGAACAAACAAATAAGAGAACATGGCTTCCTTCGAATTCTAAAAGCAAGAGCAGGGACTCGAGATAGAATTAGAAAGTTAACGGTACCAAAAATTAACTTTCACACTAAAGATTTCATTAATACGATTCTATGGAAAGCCACTAAAATCACAGAACTCCAATGGTACGGTATATTTTCAATGATTTCATTAATCAATTCACTAGACAAACATCAGAAACAGCTGTTGTGGAGATTCCGTTAGTTGACTTTCACATTTTCCATGTCACACACCAGCAGTACAAAGAGTATTACTAGTTACTTAGTTAAACTATTTTCTGTTCTCAATAACTAGTCTGTCTGTGGATTATCTTCAAGACGTTTTATTGAAGCAAAAATTGTTTCTCCCAAAATGTTCAACAATTAAACACAAGACATCTGTTCAATGAGCCAATTAAAATCATACTTTTTTGAATTTCGAAAAACTTTTCATCTTGTCAAAAATTCAGTCTGTTCAAATATTTTGTTCTTATAAAGCTTTTTCTTAAAATGTACGAGATAACAAGCAAATACATTCAAGCAATATCTTGTTTCACTGCTTAACATAGTATAATAAATTGGTAAGAATTATAATTAAATAAAAATGTACCCTTAAAATTGTATATTGTTTATAATAATTTATGTAGATTGTTTTTATCTAATTTTCAATTGTAGTTTTTCACCGTAGATGTGTACTTTGTTTAAAAGAAATACACACAACCAAATTTAGTATTCCTAATAAACATTTTAAAAATCAACTTTTTTGTTCCTTGAAATATTTTTGTAGAATTTTTTTTTAATATCAAAGACAACTTCTCCTCGCTATTAGTTGTCCGAACTCGCAAAAAATGTTCACCTTTCGTTTCCCCCTACTACACCTCCCCCACACACACCCACACATACACATACACCCATCACCCAGTCACAGCCGCGTACCAACCTTATGTAAACTGTGACCTGAGAGCTTCAGTAGTCGCGATTTCTGTCAAAGGAGTACTTCCGTGAACAGTGTGGGATAATTTATTTTTAATTATCTCATGACAATGAATTTGGAGCTAATTATTGACATATTATCAAAATTATCCAAAATACAATTTTATTAATGCTGTGCTAGACTTTGAAATGTTGATTTTATTTTTTAATTTATTGAATTGTTACTTTTGAAAAAAACATTGAAATATTATGTAATAATAGTAATAATAATAATAATAATAATAATAATAATAATAATAATAATAATAATAATAATAATACAAAATGTTGTATTCCTTATATTCAATGACAAGCACTCTATTTTAGGAAGTAATATTAGTTAATGCGGAGAATAGCCGCCCTCACCACGAATGTCACCTGTATGTAGAAGTCCTACTAGACGGCCTCCTGTAGGCATATGTAGAGCAGCTCACTCCCATATTAACGTAATTGAAAATACACCAGAACAAACTATTCTTAAAACTCGCAATCTCACCCACTAACTACATATTATGAAAGAATAATCAATTTAAATATTGTTGGCTATCTTTGATCTCACCTCCAAATACCACGACAGGTCCTTTTCTGTATTTTTACACGTAAAACACAAATCTCAGTCGTACTGATAAACCTGATTCAGCCAAATATACTATACAAGCACCAAATCAATTCAATGGTTTCCTCTTTGAATAAAAGCAGCTTTATTACACTCAACAAAATAATAATTCACTATGTATATAAACAAATACAAATAAACACCTCCACAGTAACCAATTTCTGTGTTTATATTTCGCGGCAGGTCTCAGCGCTTAGATAGGCTCATCCCCATGGGATGAGGAGGGTCGCTATTCTTCACATCAACTGTTATTTTATTCCTTATTACTGTTCATGTATGAGAGATTAATAAATTTGATAATAATCAAAGACTCTTTCTTTTCAGATGTAGATGAATGTCAACAGGAAGGAGGATTGCAAGGGCATCACTGCCATAGTAATACAAAGTGTGTCAATACAGCAGGTTCCTATGTATGTGAGTGTTTACCAGGCTATCGAAGGCTTGACAAGTTCAATTGTGTTGAGCTAGATGAATGCAGCACAGGGGATCATGCCTGCCATGAACATGCAACTTGTGTTAATACAATGGGTAGTTACCACTGCCAGTGTCAACAAGGATATCAAGGCGATGGCTACAACTGTGAACGTAAGTTACAATTAAGTTTAGAGTTTATGTCCACTAATGTTTAGAGTTTATGTCCACCCCAAGAACATGCAAGATCATATTACCAAAACATGCTTGAAATTCCTCATGTAGTTTTCCATTATAATATTTAAATTTGGTCTTATCGCTTGTCATAACGATTCGGCTGACATTGCAAGATACGAGATCGGTGAACGAAAGCGAAGAATGAGTAACGGGAAGGAGGATTCAATTAATGTTTTTCGAGTATTAATGATATGTTTATGAAGTTCGAATGGTCATAGGAAATTATGCGTTGCGAAGGCTCAAGGATGTTTTATATTAATGGCATAAGCCGAAGACCTCGCGACCCAACTTCGACACACATACTGAAGAGTAAAAATGTCAACGTAAAAGTTTTCGGCAAAGAAGTACGTTGACATAAAATGCGCTTGATTTGATTTATTTTCATCAAAGAACGGTAAAAGCTGTACGTGACATATGGTGGAAACGTATAAACTGTGCACGTTTTCTCGAGCTCCAAAATCTCTTCCCCACCCTTTTACTAGCTTTGGGAGAGAAGGGAAAATGTGAATATAATCAAAAAGACTTGTGGTAGACAGAAGATATAAAGAACCTGGTCGAAGAAAAGAAAAAGTTATATTTGAGATGGCTTTCCACAAAGG